CCCTAGTGATGCAATTTAAAGTTGAGCGCCCTAGGTCCAAAACGGTCTATGTCATTACTAGCGGGATGGATTTAACACATGATATCAGAGTCAGATTAATGTTTTATTGGGCTCTTCGTCCACACTTCAACTTGAATTTGAGAGTGACAGGAAATACTAAAGTGGGTTAGAATCTCACATAAGCCTCAATTATAAGTGTACATGATAATATAAATTTTATTACGTATTTTGTTTAACAAAATGAATACCTACGTATCGTATTAGTTCACGTACTTATACATTATCATATGGATTACAACGATATTTATAAGGAGTCTTGAAAACTCTAGAAAATGTATAATTTATGTTCCTTTTCACATAATTAATTATCAGATTGATTAACATACCTAATTATGATTTTGTGGGTCCTAAATGTTTCTTCAATTTGTGGTCATGCTCATGCATGTGATTAATTACTTTGGGCATGATGTTAGTTGAGATACAAAAGATATTAATTAGGTGATGTGACAAATACAATTTTTCCTTTTTCTCATATCTTCCTAACTGTATTACTTATTATTTATGGTCCTTAAATAAATAAAGATTATGCAACTTGCTAGTTTTGATTTTAATTCAATGAATAATGTTCATATCTTGCCTACTAATTTCTTTCTCATCCACATTTTATTTTCATAAATTTTCATCCGCTTGTAATAATAAACAAATTTTGAAATAAAAATGAATGTGATAATTTGAAATAATAATATTTGAAGATTTGGTCTACTCTTTCAACTTTAAATTTAAAATTAAAAAATAATATTAATTAGGAGTATTTAATTTGTACTTTGAAACTCAAAGGTGTGTTTGGTACAAAAAAATATTTTCACATATTTTATTTTATAGAAAATATTTCCTAAATAATTAAAATGATTTCTTTTTTTTTTATGCGTTTTAATAAGTAAACAGAATATATTTATATAGACTATAGTTATAGTTGACTTTCAAAATCCTAGTGTGTGCTTGCTTTAGTTTTTGGAAAAAAAAATAAAAATAAAAAATAATAATAAAAAAAATATATATACCACTCGAGACATAGAATTATTTGTCAAACAATTAATTTGGTGTAATTATCATGTCATCCTTGGAATAAAATACAAATGAGGTATGATTTTAAAACATTATAGTACTATATTGTCATATTGACATTATATTCCACACTATTTATGAGGAAATTGTTTCCGACCAAACAAGTGATCAAAAAAGTAGCTAGCTAGTTTCAAACAAATTTGTGTCATTATCACATACTAATACAAAAGGGGAGGCAATTTCCTAACTCATATTTTCAATGTACAAGATCTTGGGTTTTTTCGGATGAAGAAATTTTAATTATCTCACCATAATGTATATTGAGAAAGTCTTGAGTCTCAACAAAACTTTTTAGGAGTAAAATAAAAAAATTCTTAAAGAACACAATAACTTTGTGCGAATTTCGTATTCATATCGAGAAATCTAGTGATCAATGTATAAGAACTATGAGTTGAGGACCCATAAACAAAGTGTATTATTGATCAAGTGATAAAAAAAAAGAACCAAAAAACGTTTTCAATTATATCTCTATTACAGTGCGCGCATCCAGAATTTTCATTAATGGAGTTCAAATTTGAAGAAGTAAACATATGAACTAGTCAAAGTGAATTCGATATCTACCATATATACATAAAAAATATAATTTTAATCATATATAAATAGTATAATTCTCAACCGAAAAGGATTCATCTGACCCCCTAACCATAAGCCGGCTCCGCCCCTGCCCTCTTGGTTGAGGATTCAAATCCCATAAAATAAAATTGTATTATGTATCAAGAAATTACATAATCCAAACGTATCCTTAGCCTCGTGTATAAACCAGCTTGGGAAAAACATCATCCAATAGATCTCATTCAATAAAGAAATAAAAAAAATATAACTAATCTATGAGCTATTTTATTCAAACATCTAAAAATATATATATAAAATTGACATAATCCCATAATCACCATGCACGCTTTTATTTTACTTTTTTATTCACCCTTTAAATTCTAAATTCATCACTAAAAACCTTAATCCTTTTGAAATTGATGATCAAGCTAAAACACTTTTACCATTACCTAATAAGTTAGAGGTTCAAGTCATGTAATTAGAAGTAAGTTAATGCACTGTTTATCCACTCAACTTGCTTAATAAAAATACTAGTGGCAATATGTATTTTAATACATTATTATATTTTTCATACATTATTATTTTATTGAGTTAGTAACAAGGGAAAAAATTATATATGTTTCAATAGTATTATCAATTCCACACATACACTGACCATGAGCCACGTGGCACAAGATACAATGAGCTGTTATCTAGTTTGCTTCTGACTCATACACACGTAGAGGTGGCTACATATATCATACATACCCCCCTATTATTTATTTGCCACGTATTACTTCCAAAAATTAAAAATATTAAATAAATACAATAGACCCCATCTAAATATTTTATTTTGTCCATGCAACCTAGTATATTATTTATATTGTTATAAAACTTTTATACGTAAACGGAACATTGATTTGATTTGTGTACATAGTGGTTTTCAACAGGATCACGGTTTTATACTAGAGTGGACTTTAGTATTAAATTGAATAATACAATTTTTATTTTTAAATTTAAAAAACTATAACTTAGTTCGATTTTCTTAAGTTTGATTTCCGATTTATTAGTTTGATTATTTTGAATTCTTTGTTTAAGTCTATAGATTGAATTGCTTCTTCTTCTGATAAAATAAATATTTGAATATAGTAAATTACCTTAATAATACCTTAATTTTTCCATCATCACACAAATAATATTTACATGTAAGTAATGAAACTATTATTACATAAATCTTCGCAATAAAAGCATTCAGACATGAAATTTAACAACTTCAAGCATAATAAAATTATGTTCGTAGGAACAGAATTTTTACTAAAAAATTAATATAAGAAGCAAAAAGGGGTTTATCTTATGTTATATACATAAAAAATATTTTTATCATATATAAACAATGTAATTTTTTATTAAAGGCAGTTTGAATAAAAATAATCAAATTCACCTAGCTCCACCTTTGGGAGAAGTAGGTGTGTGTGTGTTGGGGGGGAGGGGGGCGGGGGGGGGGGCAACATTAAGAAATTAAAGTCGAAAACCTCTAACAAAAAATAATAAATACTTATCATTCTATTCTATCCGATCCGATCCTGGTTAATATTATCCAAATTATGCCTACCAGGCCGAAAGTGCAAATAAAAGAAAAGAAAGACAAAAACGACTCATATATTGGAATATTTTAAAAGGCTAGATCGGTACAAAAGGGATAATGCAAATTAATGATTGTGTTATGTTTTTATTGTTGGTTATAATATTATATTCTAGAATTAATACATATGTATATCAACAAACATCTTTATAAAAATGGCAAATTGGTGACCGACCATAACCTAAGATTTTTTTTTATAAATAAGAAGAAAAAAAGCAATGAACTCGATAATGCAATTTATAGACGTGTAATACACAATATATGTGATGGAAAGCACTAATACGATCAATTATTATATCATTAGCAGAAAGCATTTGCTTAATGGTTTATTAAGCACTAATTCTGTACTTTAATTGTAGCCTCAACTATATAGAGAATATTTCTGCTAGTACTCCTAACATACTTCACATTTTTTAAATTATAAAATAGAATTAATTGCCATATATAATTATATGGTAAAAAATTCTACGCCTTTTATTTGTTATTAGTTTAGTATACGTGTGTTGCATGGATTACCAAAGATATTAGATACTTTCTTTTCTTTTCTAATTTATATTCTTTATTTTCTTATGATTGTGTTGCCATATATTTAAGACTCACATACACAAAGCAAAACTTTCCATATATGCTTAGGAGTGTTACTATCCATATATTTAGGAGTATTCTTAATTTTTTTTTATTAGGATCTCATCCCGCCCTTCATGTACACAATCTTTTCGTATATTTATTAGAAAAAATCTTCATGTACACAATTTTTCCAATATTGCTTCACGTAAATAAATTATTGTTTTTAATATTATAATCAATATTATAAATTTAATGAAATATTGATAAAGAAAATGATTTTATTTATTGCACAATCTTTTAATGAAAAACAAAAAATTCAATAAACAGCTCTAAAAAAATTATGTTTCTAATATAATATAGACATATAGATAAATAGATGATAAAAATCCGAGTTCAATAAAATAAAGACAATTAGCTTTGTCCTTAAATCACCTAAAATAAAGAAGAGGATAATTAAGGTTACGCAGGGTGGTATAACAAAAAAAAAAGAAGATAAAAATAATTCTTTTCGTTCGTATTTCGATTTTATTTCCTTCCTATTTTTGTTTCTCACAAGAAAAAAAAACAACTTTAAACAAAGTAGAAGATTATTTGTTCTAAATATAGTTATTTACTCACTAAAAAAATCTCTATAAAAAATGATTGTCATAATTTTTTTTATGGTCAATTGTTTATGCCGATAAATAAAGTTTGTTCTAAAAATTAAGAACATCTAAAAATTACAACCACAAATTTGATTTGCTAAGAATAATTCAAAAATCTTAACCAAACAATCTATTTATCCTAATTTATTTGCTTGAATTTCTAAATCTAACCCTAAAAAATATCACATAAATCTAGACAAATAAAATAACAAATACCATTAGTAATTCATACTCCTTATCTTATGCCAATATTTAGTCAAATTTTATCATGATTAATCCATTCATCCTTTGTATCAATTAATAAAATTATCCATTCCATTTTTCAAATTATCAACTTATTCAATCTAATCCAACTATTATTATCCCATCATTTTTTTTTATTCAAAAAATCTAATCTAACTACGACTAGATACTCCCCTAATCTATACACCCCTACCCCACTCCACCCCTACCCCTGTCACCGTCCAGCTATATATATATATCCAGTCTCCAGCTGTATTTTTTTGTCTTTGTGTTCTTCTGTTTATAATAAATACCCATATCACAAATTTTCATTTTCATCTTTCAGTATTTGAGATTTTTTTTCTAATTTTTACTGAAAACCCATCATGGGTTCTTCGTTTTCTGTGTTGATTCCTCCGTTTTCATCTACTGTTACTAAGCAAAATCATTCAAGTCTTGGTGATTTGCCGGAAAGTTGTGTAGCTTCAGTTCTTGTATACATGGACCCGCCTCAGATCTGTAAATTATCTATGCTTAATAGGGCTTTTAGAGGCGCTTCTTCTGCTGATTTTGTGTGGGAATCCAAGTTGCCGATGAATTACAGCTCTATTATTCAAAGGGTCTTTGCTGGTCGAAATTTTCCGGCTAATTTGTGTAAAAGAGATATTTATGCTATGCTTTGTCGACCTAATTCTTTTGATGGTGGCTCAAAGGTACAATTTTTACCCCTCTTATGCTTAAATCTTCCTTTATAGATATTATTTGGGTACCCAATTTATTGAAATTTTCATGAAGGCTCTTAATTTGTGTAACGGAGGTATATTATATGTATAATCTAGGTATAATATTGTATACCGGCTAGAAAAAGTGAACAGTAAATTTGTCAGCTATTTGTGTGAAGATACCTAATTTTTTTTCCTGAAAATAAAAATTCATATACCGTTTACTAGTAAATTTGTACTAGTTTGGTGTTGAGGAGTTGTTGTTAAAGTGGTAGTATATTAAATTTGAGTTGTAATCTAAAGGCTCATTATTTGTTTGAAGGTGGAAATTGAGTTTGATGGTTTTATTTGTTTTGTGGGATATGTGCAGAAAGTTTGGTTAGATAAGAGAACTGGAAGAGTTTGTATGTCTATATCTTCAAGTGGCTTGGCAATAACGGGTATCGATGATAGGAGATATTGGAGTCGGATTGAAACTGATGAATCTAGGTGAGGGTTCGAGATTTACTTGCTTCTGATGTTTGTTTAGAGTAAATTGGATGTTTTTGTATTTGTGTGGTTATTGATGTATGTGCTATTAGATTGGCTGATGAACTCCGGATGTTCGTCCATTTGGGGCATTTTCTTCAATAGAAATCCCCTTTCCAACGCGAGTCAACTTGTCTAGATTGTGAATTGTTTTTTTAAGAATACGGCTCGTACTCTTCAAAATTGTTGTTGTTCCTTCAAAAAGTATACTATTACTTTCAGAGGATCTGACACACACCCGTCTGGATTTTCAAAGAGTTCGAACAACTTAGGTTTCAAGTATATGAAGCGGAGTTGCTTAATGTAGTTTTTAATTTGACATTGCAATGTCTATGATTAATTGGTGTTTTATATGCAAATGACCAAAATTCATGATTTTTTTTTGCAGTAGTATTATCCTTGTAATCCGATCTTTTGATTGGATTGTTGTTTCTCATTGCATCGGTTATATTGTTGTTTATGCAATGTTTGGATAGATTACATGGTTCAACAAACCCACCATGGTTCAACATTACTTGTTAGATTGTTATTTGATGGTTTCCGAGTTATGTTGCTCGGACTTTTGCAAAATGTTCAAGTTTTATCCACAACTAATTGTTGCTCCACATGATTTACTTAGCAATTATGATCAGGAACGCCCTTTAACGTTAGTACACATTTTTCTTTGTTCTAGTGCTGGCTAGACACTAATATACTTCGTAGTACAAATTGAGCTTTTGGTTTATTGCTATATTCGTGTATCAACATCAAGCTAGTACGTCCCCAGACAGAACACATAATAATCTCTTCTCCTTTCCGTCCATGCAGATTCAAGTCCGTTGCATATCTCCAACAGATTTGGTGGTTTGAAGTTGATGGAGAGGTCGATTTCCCATTCCCCGTTGGGTCCTATAGCATATTCTTCAGACTACAAGTAGGACGTGCCTCTCGGAGATTTGGACGCCGAGTCTGCAACTCCGAGCATGTTCACGGGTGGGATAAGAAACCAGTGCGGTTTCAGCTCTCGACATCAGACGGTCAACAAGCTACAACCCAATGTTACTTGAACGAACCTGGAATATGGAAGTACCACCATGTAGGTGACTTTGTTGCCACGGGTTCAGTAGAACCCATGAAAGTTAAATATTCGTTGACACAGATCGATTGTACACATACTAAAGGTGGACTATGTGTAGATTCTGTACTGATATGTCCAGTAGAGTTTACAGAGAGGTTGAAGCAGAGTTTTTGATTTGCTGATTACCTGTTTCTGAGGGCTCGTTTGGTAGGAGGGGTCAGGGATAACTAATCCCGAGATTAATTTTAGGATGAGTTAATTCCATATTTGGTTAGGATAAAATCGCAGGATAACAATCATGGAATAACTTGTTCCTAACCAAACGAGCCCAAGAATAGTTGTAGTTCTAGTGCTATCCATAGTTTTTCCGAGTGGTTAGTATAATCATATATTAGACTGAGGCAATTTGTGTAAATGTGAACAATGGGGCTGTTTATCCATTCATTGTACTGAGTTGGTTAGTATTAAGAGATAATCATATATTAGACTGAGGCAATTTGTGTAAATGTGAACAATGGGGCTGTTTATCCATTCATTGTACTTGAGTTATTAGCATCTATTACATTAAATACATTTCTTTTTGCACTTTCAATTCTATTATGTGTTACTTGAGCTGAGGTTTTTGTTAGAAACAATCTTTTAGTTGGTAAGGTTTGTGTACATTCTCGACACTCCACACACACATAGTTTCTACAGTGAGCTTCTACTAGCTTTAGTGACCTTGATTAGAATATCATTTCCTTCTGTCTCGCATGGTAAGCACCCTCTGTTGGGTTTTGAGCATTTTTTCCCTTCTTATGTGCATAAATTAAAGTTCAATTTGACAAGTCCACTTTGTCCATAAACCCAATATTATAGTGTATATGTAAGACTTTCTTTTAGGTCTTATTTAAGAGATATCACAAGAGATTGAGAGCAGCCATATAAAGAGAAGTGAGAGAGTGCAGATTTTCGCACAAGCCCTAGCAGCTAATTTCAAATTGCGATTCCCGCTTCGTTTCTTATCTGATTGAGCTGATTTTTGGACAGCTTGTTCCTTTCAATCTGATCTTTGATTGGGAACTGAGAGAGGGTGATTTGGAGTCCTGTAGCTCCAGATTTTTGCTCGTGAACAGTAGATGCCTAATTTTTGGTGCTATCTTGTAGTTGTGTTGCTCATTGTTTGACACTTTGTTGGTGACCATTTTGGAGAACACTTTTGTAACTGATTTTAGTAGCGCTTTGGCCTTGTGGTTTTTACTCTTCACACCGAAGAGGTTTTCCACGTTAAATTTGGTGTCTCGTGTTGATTCATTTTTCTTGCTTGGTTGATTTGTTTGTTGCCCAAGCAGTTTTGTTCTTGCATTATTTTGTCTTCTCTTGGTTCAAATAGAAGGGAAAGTTTTGACTTGAGTTTTCTTCCGCTATTGTCCTATCGTGCACATTTATTTTGTGCTTGCCTTTCCCAACACCCTCCACCTTTAACACACTCAAGCTTAGAAAAGGGCGTCACATATATTGAGATGGGAGGCGTAATTGATTTAAATAGGAGTGAAAAATCCTTTTTAGTTTTGATTTCACTGAAAATTACTTTTCTTTTCTGCTCAATAATTAGTAAACCTGAGTATTATTATAGCAGATGTGTAGCTGGGCTAAGTTGTAGATGGAACATTAAACTTATTATATAAAATGGGCCTAAATATGAAAGAAAGAAGTAAAAATTAGGCAAATCACATAGTATAAGAAAGAAATTACTTCCTATCCCTATTCTTTCATTAATTACCAAAAATCCCTTTTTTAGTGTCTTTCGGATACATAATATAGCAGCGCGGATACTTTAATTAATAAAGGACGGATACTTAAATTATTAAGTTGTTGGCACGGATACTTTAATTAATAACGGACGGATACTTAAATTAACGGACAAATGCATAATATAGCAGCGCGGATATTTTAATTAATAACGGGCGGATACTTAAACTAATAAAGTATCCGGTTAAGTTGAATTGGGGGAAAATAAGGAATTTTTGTATTTTAGTAAAAGAGTAGGGAAATATTGAGAATAGGTAAAGTAATGTTGTGTACTTAAGTAATTTGTCCAAGAATGATTCAATGGAGAAAGTATAGGTTACATAGGCCTAGAACAGTATAATATGGGCCACACTTTTATTAGGTGTTCCAACATAAATTCAGTTGAAGTGTGAAAAGAAAAGAAAAAAGCTTTTTGAAGTTGAAATGAATGATAATTGAAATTAGAGATTGTGTCTTGAATAAGCATTTCATTTGTAAAAAAAATTAAAAATTTGTGTGTGAACATATAGTAGCTAGTTAAGACGTAAATTAATTAGATTTTATATAAGATAATATTATGTTTGATAGTTGGATAAACTATAATTCTCTGATTATTTGGGAAAATTGTATGAAATAGCAAACTATTAATTCAAATTAAATATTATAGCCATAGTTTCTTTTATTTGTAATTCGCAGCACATTCCATGTTTTTTGTTATCCCATTTGTATATCGAAATATACAAATGCAGGACCCATTTGTATATCAAAATATACAAATGCAGGACCCATTTGTATATCAAAATGTACAAATGCAGGACCCAAATACATATTTTTATGTACATGTATACCAAAATATACAGATTAATAGTCATAGCAAACATAAAGTTTAATGGAACACAATTATACAAACTATAGCTATAACGAACAAATATGATTTTTATGTTTGTTAAACCTAAAATTTACATTTTATTCCTTAAAATTAATTAAAAGAATAAATTTATTCTAATTAACTTTGTATCTTAATTTAATACAACAATACTACTTCCATTTCCATCATATTAATTTCTCTTCACATTGAGGAAGCATAAAAATAATTAAAAAGAAAGTACTTATATATATTTTGAATTTCTAAAATAACACTTATTTTTGAATTATATATTTTTAGCAAGAATGACAAGTAAGATGAACGAGAGGGAACATCAAAGTTGAGCTACTTAGATTTCATGTCATTTCTTTTTCTTTTCTCAAGACTCGTTTGATATGAAGAATAAAATAAATAACTGATCTCAGAATTAATTTTTAAATAAATTTATTTCATATTTGATTGAATAAAATTATAAAATTACTTATTTTAAAATTAGGTTTATCGAAATTATAATCTTATTGTCATCCCATATTAAAATTAAGGAAAATAACAATCTTGAAACCAAACGAGGTCTTGCTACCCACCTAGAAGTTTGGTAGTGGATAGGAAAGACAATTAAATGCACTATTAATTTCCAGTCGATGATACCTAGGTACCTTGGGTTCTCCATCACAACATAAATCGCAAATTAAATATTCAAAAATTATATAAAAATTATTACTAGTTGTCATGTTTTTAATTTTAATATGATAAAAGAATATGTTATAAAATATTAATAAAAAATTCATACAATTTAATCGTTGAAAAACACAATATCATGCTTTTTCCGTTTCTATATAATTGCACATTGAGTAAATTTTGGATTTGAATCTTGAAAATACACAAAGAATGCTCCACAAAGTAGGACTATTCCATGTACAAATAAATCTTCTTCCACGTAACCTTGCGGTATGGGATTTAATTTCTTGTTTTTTATATTCGTTTGATTTTACTTATCACGTTTTGCTTTTCAAAAGCTAAAGTACATAAATATTGATCTATAATTTAAGTATATTTTGCTTGATATCATAAATATTATAAAAAAGAGTTACAATTTATAATATTTTTCAAACATTTAATTTTAATTTAAGAATATTGAATTAATCTAATGCTCCTTTCATCTCTTATTACTTGACTTATGTTGATGTGACCCCCGCATAAAGAAAGCCTTAATTAGAAGCTTGTTTACTTAACTAATTTTATTAATGATATTTTAGAACTCTGAATTTGACTACAACTAATTTTATGTAGCTATTTAATATAAAACAAATCAATTAATTAAGGAATACTATGTTATTAGACATAAATACATCCATATCATATTTACTAATTTTATCTATACTTTCAAATAATTACTTAGTTTCTCACTAATTAAGAGTTTCTTATCATATTTTTTGACACACTAAAATAGAGAGGGAGACAAACGAAATGGGGAAAAAGGTGAGCATATCTAAAATAAACAAATTACAACTAATTTTAATCACATATATTTTGAGATATATGTATCTGGATTTATCTAACCACACCAAAATCTAATAAGATTTGTAATATTTCAAATTAAAATATGTCTAAATAATTAATTTCTAAACTAGAAAAATATCTCATAAATTAATCTAATAGAATTTACTTTCAAATATTAGTCCATGTTCTTGAAAAATTAGTCAAATTGAATCTCGAGAATAGAGAAAAAGAAAAGCAATATTTATTTGTATTTTGCTTTGTTGGCACTTTGTCTCTTTTAAGTTTGTTTCCAGGCCCTGGCCCTGAAATCTAGATTCAGAATAACTTGTACAGGTGTAATTTGTTCAACCAACCGGATTCGGATTATACCTAACTCGGATTTTGATCCAATATGGGCTTGCCGGAGTTAGAATCAATGGCTCCGGCGATCGGAGTATCGGTGCCGGTGCTCCGTTTCTTGCTCTGTTTCATCGCTACAATTCCGGTGAGCTTCCTACACCGTTTTGTACCTAGCGCCACCAGTAGACACCTATACGCCGCTGTCACCGGCGCTGTTCTGTCGTACTTGTCGTTTGGGTTCTCATCGAATCTTCACTTCTTTGGGCCTATGCTTCTGGGTTATGCTTCTATGGTTCTCTGTCGCCGTTACTGCGGGATCATCACTTATATAGCTGCTTTTGGTTATCTTATTGGATGGTACATTATGTTCTCTCTTTGAATTTCTTTGATTTGGAGATCCCTGATTTATAGGAATTCATAAAGCTCCTTTTTAAAAAAAAATTTAAGCTCCTAAAATAACAATGTAAGAAAATCAGTAGATCTCAGCTGGACTTCCCACTATATTGGGATTGTTTGGTTCACATACTAGTTATGCAAGATTGTTTTTTTCTCGTTGCACCTAGTGGTCAATGAAGTGGACTTGAATACTGTGAGGTCAAGTATGCTGGATAGAGTTACCCGCTACCTGTGTTGGTGGGAGGTAGCACATATCATGTGAGATTAGTCGAGTTGTGTGCAAGCTGACTGAGATATGTGAGATTAGTCGAGTTGTGTGCAAGCTGATTGAGACACCACTATTATCCACAAAAAGAAGAAGCTACTACTTATTGGTTGAACCTAGAGGTGTGGCTTAGTGGTCAATGAAGTGGACTAAACATTGTGAGGTCAAGCTTGATGGATAGACTTATTCGGTTCCTATGTTGGAGGGAGATAGTAGGTATCCTGTGAGACTGGTTGAGTTGTGTGCAAGCTGACTCAGACACCTCAATTATTTACAAAAAGAAGAAGTTACTATTTACTAGTTATGCTGATTTATGGATTGTTAAACAAAGATTAAGGTATCAAGTATCCCGTTTTTGTTCAGCATAGTACTTAGATTAAAGTATCAAGTATCCCATTTTTGTTCAGTATAGTACTTAGATTAAGGTATAA